TAAATCTCCCAGTAGACACTCCATAGGCTCTCAGTTGGCTTAAGCTGCCAAATCTAGGGGCATAAATGCCAAGCAGGATGCAACTCCTATAGGATAGCCACGAGTTATCTCCACGTGTTCCTGTCTGTACAATGCTTTCTTCAAAGTTGCCTAGTCAGATCAACACACTTTTTGTGCTACGTAGTCTGCCATGCCAGTTTGGGGTACTAGCTGATTGGGTACGACTTATTCAGGAAGCCAGCCAACCTGATTAAGAAGGTTTATGTGTTACAGAGTTTACCGTGTCAGGGGGGGGATGTGGGCTTATTACCGGAGTTAGACCAGAAGCCTTTCCTCATGCAACCTTTTCTGCTTCGACCTGTTTTCAGCCTGCAATCGTCAAAAAAACCAGAGGTCCCATCTTCATGCAGCTTAACTAAATTTGGACAAGATCCGGATGTTTGGATATGACATTTGTGAGAAAACCGATAAACCCACAAATGAAGGATAAATTTTTGTGCATTTGCCTCTTGTGGATATTGAACTAGGAACATGCATTTGGCAACCTGGGAGCACTACCCACTGTGCTATGGATCCACAGGTCAAAAAATTATATTTTATTATATTTTATATATATAGATATATACAAATATTCCTAATTAAAATACTCATTTACATGAATCTGTTGCATTAAACTAATTTTTTTTTTCTAACAAATTTTTCAAGACTATTTACTAATCTTAATTCTTTTTCTGTTCCTTCTTGTTAAAGTAAAAATATATGAATATTTTCTAAATTTTTTAATGAAGTATTAGTACTAATAATAATTGTTTCAATACTATCATCTATTTTATTCAAATTTTCATTTTTTTTCTCTCTAAATATATTTGCAAGTTCTATAATAACTTCATCATTGTCAAAATTTTCATAGATAACATTTTTATCAGGAATGGTTAAAAATTCATCGATTTTCATTGCTTGAGAAAGACGGAAAGTGTTAATTATCTCAATAAGTTCATTAAGCTCATTATCGTTATCGTCATAGTCATTATTATTATCATCATAATTATCAACATCGTCATTATTTTCATTAATGGAAAGGATCTTCATATGGCGCCAGCAATTATAAATTGTTTTGATGATAATTTCATTCCAACTTTCAATAATAAATTGAATCACTTGAAATATACTCATCTTTAAATCTTATATAAACTGTCCTGCTTCGACATGCTCCAATATCCATCTAATTGAATAGATAAAGAATGAAGGAGGTGAACAGCAGAGAAGGCGAAAGGTAAAGAAAAAAGGAAAGCAGCAAGAGAATGGTAAGGGAGGTCAACAAGAAAAACAAGATGAATGACAAAAAAAAGCAAATGGTAACGGAGATCAACAAGGAAGACAAGACGAATGGCAAGAAAAGCGAATGATAAGGGAAGCCAACAAGGAAAGAAGAATAAAATGAATAAATAACAAAAGAAGACAAGACGAACAAGGAAAGCAAATGGTAAAAAAGAAAAGCGAATAGTGAAAAAGGAAAGCGAATGATAAGAAAATAATAAAAAGGCGAACAAAAAAAAAAGAAAATGAACAGCAAAGGAGGCAAACAAAGAAATAAAGCAAATGAACAACGGGAGAAACAAATGGCAAGAAAAAAAGAAAACAGCAAAAAAATAGTGAGAGAGATCAATAAGAAAAGAAGAAGCAAGAAAACAAGACGAACAGCAAGAAAAGCGAATGGTAAGGGAGGGAGGTCAACAAGAAAAGGAGAATAGAATGAACAAATAATAGAAGAAGAAGCAAGGAAAACAAAACGAATAGCAAGAAAGGTGAATGGTAAGAGAATAATAAGAAAACGAATAAAGAAAAAAGAAAACAAACGGCAAGGAAGGCAAATAATAAGAAAAAGAAGCAAACAAAAAAATAAGAAAGCAAATGAACAATGGGAGAAGCAAATGACAAGAAAGGAAGGAAAATGGCAAGAAAATAGTGAGGGAGGCCAACAAGAAAAGAAGCAAGGAAGACAAGACGAATGGTAAGGAGAGCGAATGGTAATAGAATAGTAAGGTGAATAAAGAAAAAAGAAAATGAATGGAAAAGAGATGAACAAAGAAATAAAGTGAACGAACAACAAGAGAAATGAATGGCAAGGAAGAAAGAAAAACAGCAAGAGAATGGTAAGAGAGGCCAACAAAAAAAAAAGAAGCAAGGAAGACAAGATGAATGGCAAGAAAAGCAAATAGTGAAAATGAAGGCAAAGAAAAAAGAAAACAAATGACAAGGAAAACAAATAGCAAGGAAGAAAGGCGAATGGTAAAATAATAGTGAGGGAGGTGAACAAAAAAAGAAGAAAAAACAGATAAATAATAGAAAATAAGTAAGGAAGATGAATGGCAAGAGAAGTGAATGGTAAGGAAGGTGAATGGCGAAAATAATAAGAAAGGCAAATGGAGAAGATAAAATAGGAATGTATAAGGAGGAAAAAATGAATGGTAAATTTAAAAGTGAGAGAAATAAACGAAGAAATTAAAGGAAAATAAACAAATGTAGGGATAGACAAATATATAAATAAAAAATAAATAAATAAAGAATAGTGAAATAGGCAAATGAATAAAGGTAAAAATAATGGGTAAAGAGTAGAAGAATAGGTAATAAGTGTAGTAGGGAAAGAAAATTAATAAATAAAAATATGTATAACGATTATATGTAATAAATAATAAAATATAACTTATCAAAGATGAAAATGCCAATAATATCTTTTAAAAGCCATAATTATTCCAGCATTCATCAGCTAAATTCTTGAGGTAATATTAGGAGGAAGAAAATAAACATCAATATAATCAAGTTTTACACCTTCAATCTTGTGACTTGAACAATTATCAAGCAATAAAAACATACATTGACCTTTGTGTTTTTTATTATTTGATAATTAAACTCTCGAAGCCACTCTTGAAAATTAATGGCAAGCATCCATACCTTAGAATTGCTTCAGTATTTAATTGGTAAGTTTTGAATCTTTATATTTTTAAAGCAATAGGAATTGGCAAATTTTCCAATAATAAAAGGATTTAATTTGTGTGATCCATCAGTATTTGCACACAATGCAATAGACAAGTATTCCTTATTTTTTTTATGTCCTGCAAGATGTCGAGATGCTAATGTTCAATCTGGTTTCATTCTGTAATAGCATTAAATAAATAAATAAACTATTGTATAAAAAAAAAATTGTATGCATATATTTATCTATAAAAAAAGCCAGTTTCGTCCATATTGTAAATTTGATTAAGAGGATAATTACTATATTTGTTTTGTAACAATAGTAAAGTTTCTATTATGATATTTTGATTAACAGATGCAGCTTTGCTATAAAGTTTTTGTTAATGAATTCCATTGCACTCCTTGAATTTATATAACCATCCATTAGAAAACTTTAGTATATCTTTAGAAATATCTAATTCATTTACCAATAATTTTGCTTTTTCAATAATTAAAACATCACTTAAAATTATTTTATCTTAATAAACTAATATAAATTCCTTAAGAGCAAGTTCAAGTTTTGAAATAGTAACTGATCTATGTCTTTTTGCTTGTGAATTTGTAAGTTTAACAGAAAGTCTTTTGTCTTTTGTTTGAAGAAGTTTAGTAATTATTGATTTACTAACTTCAACTTTCCATTTTTGTTTAATCCATTTTATATATTCTAATCTAGTTTTTTCATTATTATAGGCATAAAGACAAAATTCATATTTTTGATAATTTGATAAAGATATTTTAGGCATATTAATTATGATAATCAATATTGTATACATATTTAAATTTTTTTTTTATAATATATAATATCACATGATAATCATGTGTTGTGTATTTATAAAGAAAATTTTAATATAATAAATTTAAAATTTTTTTACATATGCAGAAATTAGAGGTATGTATTTAATAATATTGCCTAACTTGGGACCAAGCTTAATAGTGCATTTAAAGAGGATATGCATTTAGAGAGGGTACATTTAAAGAGGATTCTCTGTATACTGTATATTGTTACGAGGAAATCATGGCGAGTCAGTTGCTTTGGTCTGTCTCACGCCGTGTAACAATAGGGTCTCGTTTCTGCTCAAAAGAGGTGTGTGAATTTGGCCAGAGTTCGTAACGCCGACGCAGATCAGTTCGTCAATCTTGCGTCCTCAATTGTTACTTCCTCGTGTAGCAATTCCGTTAGCTACACACACTGGGGTATTTTCACAAGACAG